AAAAAATAGAAAATATGAATTTAGAAAAGCTGTGTATTCATTACCATATAAATCACTGAGAACAATATTGTAGACTAAAATATAATTCCTTGTCTCAAAGAAGTTAATTAAGTTGAGGGGCTGTAATTGATGCAAATGCCCAAATCTCTGAGAAATCATAGAAAAGGGAAAATACCAAGAGCTAGGCCAGTGAGGAAAGCTATGAAGGATCTTGGAGGATAGGAAGGATTTGAATACTAAGGAGAGCAGATGAGAAGTACCTATGTGGCAACAAGCACTATGCTAAGGATATGAAGTGAATTAAACAGCCAGGCTGGAGACCAGCAGATGACGAAATGGTTATGTTGCTGGACTCCCACATAGTCAACTGTGGTTTGAGTCTCAGACCTGGTGGCTTAAAACTTAGACCAGGAGCGTGTGTGTGCTTACTCAAGATCCCCAGAGGAGAATGGAGGAGAAGGGATTGTAATATGGCCATCCTCCTGGGGGGGAGGGGTGATTTCTCTTTCTTTGTCTCTATCTCTGTCTGTCTCTCTGGTGAGCACATGTCCTATAGCAAAAATCTCTCTTAAAAAAAAAAAAAGCCAGGCTGCTCACAGGTTCTGCATGAAAAAGAGATACATGAACAAAGGATTTCAACCTTATTTGATAAAACAAAGGTATGCTGAGGAGATGAGGGAACAAAGCACAGAGGTACTTAGCACAGTATGGGGTGTGAAGAAGGCTACTCTAAGAGATAATGCAGTTAGTTAAACTTAAAGGGATGGGGAACCAGCAGATGGCTTGGTGGTTAAGGGTGCTGGATTCCCACATGGTTGACCATGATTCGAGTCCCAAACCTGGTGGCTTGCTTTCTCTCTCTCTTTCTCTTTCTCTGTCCCTCTCTGGTCAAATTAAAATAAATAAATAAATAAAGATAAATGAAATAATTCTTTAAAAAAACTTGCAGGGATGAAAAAATTAACTTGTCGAAAAGAGTTGAGAATGTTGCAGAAACTTCTTAAAATTCAGAATTGTTGTAGAGTAAAATAATAGGTCATCAGGCAAATCATGGCACATTTTTGCACAGAAAAATATGTCATGACTTTTCTGACCCAATATAAGGAGACCAGAAGGGAGCAGGTGAAAAGGGTCAAATCAAAAAGAGACTTATCTACTATGCTAAAGAGCCTAGACTCTTTAATTTGTATGCTCAGAAACATCAAAGTGATTGATCAATTGTGTGTTTTAGATGAACCTCTCCTCTGGCTACAGTAAAGAGGAAGAATTTAAGTAGAGCAAGCTGAAAATAAAAGAGACCATTTATGAGGTGAATATACTAGACCAGGCAATACCTAATGAGTGAATGGACTAGAAGGGTCTCGGTGGGGTAGAGAGGAGCAGGAAAATGGGTGAAATATTTAGATGTAAAACAAAATTTAATAACTGATTAATTGTGAGAGATAAGGAAGAGGGGGAAATCTAGAGAAATCTAAAATAATTCCTGGAATTGTACTTTGGTAACTAGGTAGATAAGGAGCTTGTCTGATAAGTGTGAAAAGTGGGAGTGTATGTCAGGGGAAGAGCATCTTAGAGTAGTTTAGGTTAAAATAATTGCTAAGGGGAAAGTGAAGGAAAAAGAAAAGGATTAAGTAGGACTAAAGGCCCAAATAGTACTGGATATCAAGACTCTGGAAAAGTACTCAATCTGTAGACTTACATAATTTTCCATGGTTATCACTCAGAAGCCTGAGTACAAAAGTAGAAAAGGTGGAGGATGAATTTGAACCTGGGTTGAAATCTTGCTACTAGACAGTGAGAGAATAATAACAAGGTGCAAGTAAAGTTTTCCAGAAGGCTGTTACAGCATTAAGGTGTGAGATAATGATAGTGCAAGTATAATGAAAGAGTACAGGACAGAGAAATAGTTCTAAGAAGATTTGGTAAGACCTGCTTATGGATAGGATATAGGGAACTAAGTAGTCAATAATGACCTCAAAAGATTCAGGTGTAGGTGACTAATAAATAGTTGTACTATTCACAAAACCAGAAAACTTGGAAAATTCAATGGTTTCAAAAAAGATTATTAATTCAATTTTAGATACATTGAGTTACAAGTGAAAGTGAGATATCTAAGTGCAATAATGGGGCTACAAATTAGTAAGATAAATAAAACAAATACAATAAATAAAAAATACATACATACTTTAGTTCCATATCTTTATGGTAGTCATTCCTGTGCTAATAAGGTCTGAGCTAAATGAGGGACATAAAAAAGCAATGAGAATGATGAAGAAAAAGAGAATATACTAAATATGGTAGAAACGTATGTAGACAACAGGTGGAAAAGATAGAGACAGAAAGGAGAAAGTGGGTTAAGAATGAAATAGGTGGAGTATGTTAAATAGTTTGTCTTATACTTGCTTCACTTATAACATGGTACTCTGCTATTACTGTTCTTTGACTTTCTCACTAGCTAGTTTAAATTCTCCACCTTTTTTTTTTTAATGCTCAAATGTTTGCTGCTCTTGAAACAGTCAAGGCAGGGGTGAACAGACTTCCACAGACATCTGTGAAGCTTCTGTGAAAACTTCTTCACAGGCTTGCATAAGGTTTCTTCACTGATTGGATTAAACTGTGCTGATGAGCATGTTACCTACAAGAGGGTGAGGACTTCACCAAAATCCTTCTTCTCTCATTGAAATTTCAGAGTGCTAAAATTACCCTACCCTTAGAAGTGACAAGAGTAAAAACACTTCTCATAGACTCAGTTCAAATTTACTTAATGCCAACTAAACTAGAAGCCACTATTTCAGATACCCTTAGCCCAACAACAAGAAAAATACCCTAAGAAGTGGTGGAAGCGGAACCAGCAGATGGCATAATGGTTACAATGGTGGACTCCCACATCACTGACTGCAGTTCGAGTCCTGGACCTGACTAATAATGTACTGATTCATATATTTAACTAATCTCCATTGATATAAGCCTACTTCTATGCCAGTGTGTATCTCTAGCACTAGAAATTCAGATGAGTTACATGAAGTAACTTCCCTCAAAGACCTCACTTTCTAATGAGAGACAAAAACTCATGGAGAAAAAATTAGATATGCAGGTTAATAAAGTATAGACTAGAAGCCTTGAAGGAAGTGAAATGATTTCCAAGCAGCAGTGGCATGTTAAAGAATAAGTAGGAGTTAGCTAGGAAAAGGGATTACATGAATATTCCAAGCAAAGTAGAAGCATGAACAAGGGCACAGAGACAAGAAATAGGGTAACTGCTTTTGGAAACCATAAGCAGTTTGCAGGTACCGACCCATGCAGATCATGACAGGGAGTAGTAGGGGATAATCCTGGAGAAGGCAGGCAAGAATAAGACAGGAGAGAGCAATGGAGCTTAAATTTCATCTTTAGAAAATAGAGAGATGATGAAAGGTATTTAATAAGGGAAGAACTAGAGAAATCACTAGAGAATGGTTAAATGAGGGTTAATTTGAGGAGACAAAATTGGAGGCAGGAAAAGTAGTTAGGAGGTTGTGGCAATATTCTAGCATAATGCTTCTCAAAATTTATTGAGTACAAATCACCAAGGAAATCCTGTTAAAATGAAGATTCTGGTTGAAGTAGATCTATAATGGGGCCTGAGATTCTTTTTTCTAACAAGCTCCCAGGTGATTTCAATAGTGCTGATCCACAACACCCACTTTTCTGAGAATCGAGACTCTAGGAAAGATGTTGAGGACCTGAACTAGTATGGGAATAGCAGGGTTAGGGATAAAGGGGTAGTAATATTCAGGTCATAAACCAGTCATGGCTTAGTGCTTCATTAGATGTAGAAAGTGAAGAAGGTGGTGTTGGGGAGTTTCATAGTTAGGTGTGGGTTTCCTAATGTGAACAACCAAGTGGATTTGAAATGGATGTGAGATATACAGGTGAAGCAGTAACTACCATCTTGGACATGTGAGTTCAAGCTTGACAGGAAGGTCATAAAGCTACAGATGAGAGATGAAACCAGGAAAATATATTAATCATGTTTTCAGAATAAGTCAAGAACTGAACCATGGGAATACCTACATCTAGGTAATGAATAAAAAAATAGACCATAAAGAAAACAAAAAAGAAGAAGAAATGCAGGAGAAGAACCAGAACATAGAGTTACATATGACAAAGAATAGAGCTTCAAGAAAGAGGGAGTAATGAATATTTTCACATGAATCAGAAAGGTCTAGTAAAGAAAAAAAAATAATGGTGAGGGGAGAATAAGTGGGTGGAAGAGAGATTATTAAAGGGAAATAAAATACACTAGTAGTGAGAAGGTGTCTGTGGGAGAAAAATGGAAATATATATATATGATTAGAAGAGCAAGTGAATCACTCCAGTCAGGATAGTTGGGCTAATTGTGCCTCTATTGTGCCTCAATTCTTGCCACTTGTTCTTACCTCTTTTTTCATCTTCTCTCCTGCCGACTTCTATCAACCGAAATAATTAAAATCTATGAAAACTTTCTGGAGCATGTTGTTTCACTCCTCTAGTTACCAAAAATATGTATACAAAAATCCATGTCTGTAGCATTTTGCAATGAAATGTTATTAACTCAACTAGTCTATATGCTTGCTCCTTTTAGGGAAAACAGGATATTCTCATTTGTATTCCCAAGAATCACTAGTCTAGCACCCAAGACGTATTTAAACTATCTTAGTTAATGAATGATATAACTGTGATACTAGTTTAAAATACTTCCTTATGTATGTAAGATAATATGACACAATGGGAAAACCTATATTTGATCCTAAAATTAACAGGGGTCATACAAACTATTCCAGCTATGACTTTTTAGAAAAGAAACAGATCAATCTAGATAGACTTGTAAGTCCTTACTTAAATAAAATTCTATGACTCCATAAATACTATCAATCTCTCACTCATAAGAAAAAGTGGTATACGAACATATAAATAAGCTAGTATATTTTATAAAATATAAACTTTCTATGAAATAGTTGTGTGATAATTTCACTGTTTACCATTTGTGTTTGATTTTGCTGGAAAAGGTTTTTCTCTTATCTTGTCTAAAAACATCTTCCTAGCTTCGTTTCTTGTGTGTTTTTTCCCAACATAATGTTGTTGGGCCATTAATGGACTATTAAAAGAAGCAGGACAGAGCTTGCAATATTTGTCTGGATTATCCAAATCCAAATCACTGCTTGAAGAAGAAGGCAAAGTCTTGTCTTTAATCCCATCTGTGGGAGGCTTGACAGCAAGGTGCTTCAGGTAGGTTGATTCTGTAGAAGTAGTAATAGGCACACCTGCTGAAATAGGTATGAGAAATGATCAATATGTGTTCACATATGAAAGTAGCATTCATTGTAACATGTTAGGGAAATTTAGAAATCTCTAGAAACACACTATCTTTGGAATTTTTCAGCAGAGAGCTGCTGGAGTGTGGGAGGCTTGACAGCAAGGTGCTTCAGGTAGGTTGATTCTGTAGAAGTAGTAATAGGCACACCTGCTGAAATAGGTATGAGAAATGATCAATATGTGTTCACATATGAAAGTAGCATTCATTGTAACATGTTAGGGAAATTTAGAAATCTCTAGAAACACACTATCTTTGGAATTTTTCAGCAGAGAGCTGCTGGATTAAGGGACCCAGGTCAAAAAGAATTTCCTTTGGTGAGAATGGAAATTTGAATACAAAACTGTCACCAAGTTTTTCCAAGAAAGACAAAGGAAGGAAGAAATGTTCTGCATCATGCATTACCTAATTACATTCATTTGAAAAAATCAATGAGTGGGGCTGGCAGGTGGTATAGTGGTTAGGGCAGCTGGACTCCCACATAGCTGACTGTGTTTCAAGTCCCAGACCTGGCAGCTTGCTTTCTCACTTTTCTTCTCTCTGTCTCTCTCTGGTTAACATAAAAAAATAATAAAGTAATATAATGACAATGAATAAAATTAAAATAATAATTCCTAAGAATGACAATGAATAAAATTAAATTAATAATTCCTAAAAAAAGGAAAAATCAATGAGAAACATTTTAGGATGATTCTTTGAAATCAGTGAGATAAAATAAATGGTACTACTGCATTGGTGTCTTTCTCGAGTAACATAGTTAGCATCTATTCAATCTAAACCTGTGATGTATGCATCAGGATAAAATCTATACCAGTTTGAGACTATAAAGCTATGCATGTTTCCACAATTCCAGTTATTACCTAGTTCTTTCATTTACTCTCTTCTCTGAGTTCAAATCAATGAATTTTGGGGTGTGAAGATAAAGCTTTTTACAAGATGTTTTCCCTTGTAAAGCATACTGATTATGTTTTTCTTTAGAAGGGCTGGCAGAAGAGAAACAAACATACAAAAATTAAGATACTAGAATAAATTTTAAAAATAATTATGGCTTAATTTTATTAGAAAAACAGTTAAGTTTTAATAATGCTTTTTTGTGGCACTGACTTTGCTGGGTGATGCCTACACTGTGAGTTGAAAATCAATGTTGGTGAATTTTCCACGTAAGATAATGCCTTAGTCCTAAATGATTAAAGCTACTAAGAATATGGTAAATTATTTATTCCACAGGATTAACAATCTTTTATTTTTTTGGTCCAGCACATGAGTTTTTCAAAATACAAGTTTGATATTCCAGAGTATACTTTGCCATCTCAGGCAGTTCTGGGTCAGATCTCTCATGTATTCTGGTGTCCCAACATAGATGCAAGGAGGAAAAAGGCAATCAATGCTGTGTAATTCTCTGTATCTGTAGGATTTACCATAAAATAAGTACTTTAGTAAATATTGATTGAGGATGGTGTTTGTACTTTATATTTGTACAAAGGAAGGAATGACTGTTAGGGTAACTTACATACGTACATGCATACATACATACATTTACTTATTGTGTTGACTTTCTTATACTTTAGCCCAGAGTTATAGTCTGGAGATTCTGCATCCATAACTATACTGTGGTGAAGACACTGATCAGAGCACACACATAAGATAATGTTTTAGAAAATATTAAAGGAAAAAATGATACCAAGGGGAAGAAATAAGAAAGAGCAATGATTTTATGGTTTGATCACTGCAGTTGCTTATTGCTGTTTCTTTTTAGCAGTATAGCAAATCACATATTATTTGGATTTAGTCAAACAAAAGTAAGAGATCATAACATTTTTAAAATTCAGCTAATCACTATAATTTCCACATTAAATGGCAAGGACACACAAGAGAAGAACTGGGCAGAAGAAGAATAATCAAGTTATTTCAACCAGATTGAAAGTCTCTCCAATACAAAATAGATGGCAGAGTTGAAAATAAATGATAGATTGATCCTGTATTGAAATGAAAAGGTAAAAGGAATCTTACCCATTTCTGCCTGAAATGTTGATGGAGATACCTGATCGCGTTCCTCTATTAATTGCTTCAGTTTTTTACTATGAACTTTCCCTTCATAGTGAGACTGAGCAACAATTGGGGAGCTAAAGATCATGTTGCAGAGATCACAAAATTTGTTTTTGTCCACTACTTCACTTCTATGAACCTGAAATAAGCACAATCTTGTTACAAAGATTCAGTAACTCAAAGTTTAGAATCACAACATAAACATAGAACACTCACCTGAAAATTCTCAACATGCATCATCATTTTGTCACCAGGCACTTCATTCTGTTCCCCATGCATTTGAAAATAAAACCTAACATTTTGAGCATGTCTTTCACTCTGAAAAAAATATATATAATATGACTTTTGTTTATTCAATAACAGAAGCACCAAAAAATTAGACCTCTGTAAAATTTGAGGACCACACTCAAAAGAATTTTAAGATACTTAGTCTGTACCAAGTTTATGGAAGAGTTTCACATGCCTTAAAATCTCTAAATATCGGTTAAAATGATTTTGACAGAAAGTGGATAAATATGGAATATTTACTGCTGAGTGAAGCAAGCCAGGCTATGAAGGAGAGACACTGTACATCTCCACTTAATATATACCAAGTGTCGACTCTCAATAGCTGAAACGGAATGACTAGAGGATATAGAAACATAGAAAATGGTTATAAATACCAGATACAGAGTGGGGAGACAGTGGGTGAAGGAGGAGAGTCTGAGGAAGGACATTGAGGAGAGGAATAGAGAGGCAAGGCATTATGGGACAAAAAATGGGTTATTATCTGTTGAAGATCATGTGTATAGTATTTGTATTGGTGAGAAATGTTTATGTGTTGGAATATTCACTTTGCAAGCTATGTGACATATGTGATTGAATGTATAAAAGAAATTAAAAAATTAAAAGAAATTATCAAAATAAAATGTGATATTGTCAAATATAAATATGAAAACATGCTTCCATTTTATATATATATATATAAGGAATAAATATGGTCTGAATTCTTCCATAAAAAAATGAATGCTATACTTTAGAAACTAGTAACTTTCACATTCTTGTCTTCGATAGCGACTCCTAGTGACTGCCCAATATTAAATATTTCCTTGCTTGGGTATAATCTTGAGCAATGCATCCAGCTAAAAGAGTACATTTTTCAGCCTCTCTTTCATCAAGATGTGTCTGAGTGAACAGACTGTGGCCAATAAGATGTAATCTCAAGTCTTGTGTGGAATTTCCAGGAGTCCTTGGAGATAAACCCTTCTATCCTCCTTTCCTTCTGCTTCTAGAACTATGATGCAAAGGACAGAGGTTCAACAGTCATTGTGGACCATGAAGGGCCTTGAGGAGAAAAGTCAGTTCATCAGAGCAGAAAGATAAAAAATGCTTAGATCCCTGTTGATGCCATGGAGCTGTCATATCAACCATGCGCTGCCTACTTCTCACATTATTTTATATGAGGAAATAAAGCCCACTGGGTTTAAGCCACATTAGAAACAATCTCTAAACAAATATGTAACGAATACATAATAGCCAAGATGCTGGTACAGAGAGAAGGGAACTAACATTTCCTGAACACGATGAGGCAATCACTTTGTCTTTACAGAATTTTAACTTATGAAACATGTCCATCATATAGAAAAAGACAGAAAAAAGGGACCAGCAGATGGTGGAACGGTTTCATCGCTGGACTCCCACACAGTCAACTGTGGTTCAAGTCCTGGACTGGCGGCTTAAAACTCATGCTGGGCGCATGTGCGTGCATGCCTAAAAACCCAAGAGAATGAAGAAGGGATTGCAGACTAGCCATCTCCCCTGGTGGGGAGATTTCTTGATTTCTGTCCCTCTGTCTCTCTCTGTCTCTCTGGTAAGTGCACACACCCTATAGCAAAAATCTCTCCCTCTCTCTCTCAAAAAAAAGTAAAAGACAAAATAATATAGCTGAATCCCATATTCACCATCCAGTCTCAACAAGTGTTGCTACATTTCTTTCAGATCTTCTTTTCCAAAGTTGCAAAATTTTACATATATAGTCCTATACTCTCACAACCACAACCCTTCCCTCCACTTTTCTTCCCCATAGGCAACCATAATCTTAAAGATGGTATATGTCATTTTTCCCATAATTTTATTATTTTACAATATAAGCATGTACACATGAATGGTATTATGTACTGCTGTCTTTTAAAAAATTCAACATTATATTTCTAAACAACATTATATTTCTAAAATCTATCTACACATACAGGGATCTTCAAAAAGTTCATAAAAAATGAGTATTATGAAAAACTACATGTAGATTTTAAAACCAAAATAAACTAATATTTTAATTTCATTTTCCAAGAACTTTTTTAATGAACTTTTTCCATGAAGTTCCCACATTCTAGTTTATCCATATTATATACTGTATAATATTTTACTTCAGGGCCAGCAGATGATGAGGAGGTTAAGGCAGCTGGATCTCACATGGCTGACTATGCAGTTCAAGTCCCAGACCCTGTGGCTTACAAAACATTCCAGATGCATGTGTTCAAAATCCTAAAAGGAGAATGAAGGAGATAGGATTGTGGCATGGCTATGCCCCCTGGGGGGTGATTTATCTCTTTCTGTCCCTTTCTTTGAGGAATGCACATGCCCTAAAGCAAAACAAATAATATATATATTCTAATTAATATGTTACCCATCTAGTCTATTTCTGTTTATTTTGCTACTGCCACTATGTTCTACAATCATTGCAATTACTACAAAGCATTGTTACAATGCACATATGTAAACATATCTCCTATATATGTCCAAGACTTTCTTTAGGGTGGATATGGAGAAGTGGAATTCTTGGATTACAAGGTTCATGAATTTTGAACTTTAATAGATATTATTAAATTTTGAAGCAATTTGTATCACTAAATGCAGCATATAAGAGTGTTTTTGTCTCCTTATATTGTTCCAAAGTGTTAAGTGCAATTAAATATTTTTTGGCTTTAAAATCAGTTATTAAGGAGACATTTATGCATTTCAAGAATTGCTTAAATTCTATTAATCCAGATTTAAGCATGTGAACATATGATGACTTTTAAACATACAATTAGAGCTATTCATCATAATCTACTTTACTACCAACATCAAATTACAGTTACTTTAGACCATAAGTCAAATGGTTTAAAGTAAGTCTGTAATACCTAGTAAACACCATTCTATCTCACATATTCAAATTACTTCTCCGTGTAAAGGGTGTTTCACTTTATAAGTTATAACTCTGTAACTCACTACTCAGGGGCTTTTCATAGTCCAAACAGAAGGGGATGGGGGAAGAGTAACCAGGACTAGTGAACTAGATATACATATATATTATATATGTATTATATATATGATATATGTATATATTTTTAAAGATGGCACAGAAGGAAATGCAATTTTAGAAGTGTAAGCCCTCACGAAGCAACATATTATGATAAACCCCCTTCTTTAGAAAGGTATCATTTCTACCATTGATGCCACAGGCTAAATTATATGTCATCTATCTTCAAGTTGAGGCAATAGAATAAATGCAAAGGCACCACAGTGAGTCCCATTTAGTATAAATAACTACACTGACCAACACATACTTTTCTACAAATTCTTTTATTTTCTCCTTCTGACTGCCAGTTAAACACAGAATTTCATAGCTTAAGAATGAAGGATCATACACTTAAGTCAATACATATAGCTAGCATTTCAGTCTAAGCTCATCCACGTACACAGGTGAAATCAATTACAAGGAATGGCTTAATGAATGCTAGGGGAACTTTGTAGTTGTTACTGCTATTAAAATTGCATCTTGCTGGGAACCAGCAGTTGGCGTAATGGCTATGTTGCTGGATTCCCACGTAGTCGACCGCGGTTCGCCTCCCGGACCCGGTAGCTTAAAACTCATGCCAAGTGTGCTCTCGTGCACTCATGCCAGGTGTGCGTGCGTGCGTGCCCAAGATCCTGAGAGGAGAATGGAGAAGGGATTACGGTGTGGCCATCCCCCCTGAGGGGTGATTTCTCGCTGTCTCTCTGTCTCCCTCCGTCTGTCTGGCGAGCGCACGCACCCTATAGTGAAAAAACCTCTCCAAAAACAAAACAAAAAATTGCATCTTGCTGAGACCAGCACTTGCCATAATGGGTATGTCACTGGATTCCCATGTAGTCAACCAGCTTAAACTCACGCCAGGCGCGTATGTGTGCATGCGCAAGATCCTGAGAGGAGAATGGAGAAGGGATTCTGGCATGGCCATCCCCCCCGGGGAGTGGTTTCTCATTTTGTGTCTCTCTCCGGTGAGTGCACACACCTTATAGCAAAAACCTCTCCAAAAAAAACAAAAACAAACAAAAAAACCCCTGCATTTTGCATGCTGAGGTCATCACGCATATAGAGCAAAGTCAGAGCTTTTATATTTGCATTTATTCTTCATTAACTTTTAAAATACTATAGTTGAATATTAAAACAAAAATAATAGCAAAGTAGTGAGTATATTATGATTATAGTCCTTCACTCATTCACTACTGCATATAAAGTGCTAGCAGTGAGTGCTATTTACTGGCCCTATTAAGAGGTCTGACACTGACCACCACCTCGGGAATGATGGTCATCATTCTCATATGCTTCTTCATTGTAATTTCTTTCCTGATTTGGATCAAAGTCCACCAGTTCTATCTGGTCCATTTCCTCAGTCTCTTTTACTTCCTTCCCCTAGGTATAAGTTTTTCCAGCAAAGTTTATCAGGAGACAGAAAGCCATTCTCAGGGAAGTTTACCTTAAATCTGATGACTAGCTGACCTTTTTCATATGGTCTACAATATATTGGCATGCCTTCATTTAGTATACACTTGATATCTCCATGTTTGCAATCTGATCTGGATGAGAGGTGATGACTATGGTTCAGTTGTCAAGAGTGGAAATTGGTTTTTGGAAGCCACACAATGCTTCAACCTGCTATACTTCCATGAAAATGTCTTCTCATCAAGTAAAAATAGCATGGTCTTTCTGATCTAATATGATGATAATATCTCCTGGCTCGATTCCTGGTTCTTGGTCTTCTTCACCATGGACTGTTATCTTCTAGCCATCTTTCATGCCTTTGTTGATAGGAACTTCTAGAATCTTCTTTTCTCAAACTATATTCCCTCTATTTCAAAATTTACATCTATCTTTAGGACTGATCTGTTCCCCATGGCCTTAGCACTCCATGCATACAGACTGAATTTGCTGAACCATTTCAGGTCCTATCTGATGAATTCTTATTTACATGCCAACACCTCGGCCATTGGCAAAGCATTGTACTGCTTCTTTCTTACTACCTCAGTTTTCACATTTGCCACCAATCACATTCTTTTGCAGAGCCAGTTTCTGTATTTTGCTGTTACATAAATCTTCTAATGTTACTGCAAGCTAATGTACATTTTTACCTCTTCTTTCTCTGTGCATCCTTCTTCCTCCTCCAAAAACCATACCAGATGTTCATTGGGAAGCCAAAACCATCACCTGTTCCATCCTCTGTCTATTCTCTTCTTTTGTCATATAATTAATTTTTCTTCACCTCAGGGAGAACTTTGTAAGCTTGAGAAATCTGTTTAAACTTCTTGCCTTCATTTGGATTTTTATCAGGGTGGTTTCCTATAAACTTTCTTTAGTTCTTCCTGGGTGGCATTGAGTTTGACCCCCGAAATACCACAGTAAGTGGTTTCTTTCGCTGAGAGAGAGGAGAAAGAGAGAAAAAAGCACACTCCTCAAAGGGGTGTGGGAAGGCTGCAATCCATTTACCTCCATTTCATCAGGATTTGGAGCATGCATGAGCATGTGTCTGGCATGTATGCAAGCTCCTGGGGCTATGATTTAGACAATGGTTGGCCATGTGGGATCCAGCTCCCAGTGCACCACACTTAACCACTATGGTATGAGGCTGGCCCAAATTAAGTATTTCCTCTACAGCCTACTCATGCCACTTTATTTTTCTACTGGGTTCTTATTCTAACTGATTTGTAGTCTTTTATATCTTCTAGACATGAACTCTTTGTTAGTTACATGGTTTATAATTACCATCCAATTTGTGACTCATCTTTAAATTCAGTTTGTAAATTTTAGTGTATCATATACATTTTTCCTACAAATACTGTGACTTATTTTAAAGCTGTGACATTTTACACGTGAAATTGTAGATATAGGAAAATAGACCAATATGATAACATGGAGTAGCCTCAAAACAGATCAATATATATGTGGAATTTAGTATATGACAGAGGTGCCACTACAAATCAGTGGAACAAACATTGACTGTACGATAACTGGTTATCCATATCAAAATAATATTGTTCCTACCTCCATACATGAAAATCAGTGCCAGATGGACTAAACACTTGAATGTACAAAGTAAAGTTTTCCTGGGGCAGCAAGTGGCATGGTGGTTGAAGCACTGGACTCCCATATAGCTGATCGCAGCTTGAGGCCTAGACCTAGTGGATTGGAAATCATGCATATGCATGTGTGCCCAAAATCCAAAGAGGAGAATAGAGAATAAGGGATTGCAGCATGTTCATACCTTCCTGGGAGTGGGGGCGGGGGTGGCAGGGGTGATGGTGACTTCTCTCTTTTCCTTTCACTGTCTCTCTCTGGGGAGCGCACAGCCCTATGACAAAAATCTTTTTTAAAAGGGAGGGAGGCCAGCAGATACTGTGGTAGTTAAGGCACTGGAGTCTCACTGGGCTGACTGCACTTTGAGACTTAGACCTGGTGCCTTGAAATCACACCAGGCACATGTGTGTGCTTGCGCAAAATCCCAGAAGGAGAGTGAAGAAGGTATTGCAGTGTGATCATCCCTCCTGTGGGGTGATTTCTCACTTTCCCTCTCACTGTCTTTCTGTCTTTCTCTGGCAAGTGCATGTGCCCTATGGCAAAAACAAACAGAGAGAGAGAGAGAAAGAGTGAGAGAGAGAGAGAGAGACTTGAAAATCACACCAGGCACATGTGCACATGTGCCCAAAATCCCAAGAGAAGAATGGAGAATAAGGGATTTCAGCATGGTCATCTCCTTGAGGGTGATTTCTCACTTTCCCTCTCACTATTTCTCTCTGTATCTCTCCGGTGAGTACATGTCCCTATGGCAACCCCCCCCCCAAGGTAAAGTTTTCCTAAGTTTAAGAAAAAAATAAAGAGAAGTATCTAATGTCAAAAGTGCGTAGAAATGTTTCTTAAAAACACAAACATGGATACAAAGGAAAATATTAATAAATGCAACCTCACTGAAATTCAAAACTTCTGTGGCACTATCTTATTTTACATGAAGAATAAATACCATACTAAAACAGTGTGATAGTATTAACCCAGCTTTAAACTGAAAAGGAAAAAAAAGCTACCTTTTTAAGTATAATATTTACATGGAAAATGCTTTCAAATCTATGAGAAGTCATGTATAGTTCTGATCTAATGATTTGATGGGGTTAGACACCAAATTGCAAATGGCAATGAAATTTAAATTAATAAAGTACAAGAGCTATATGATATTTAATAACCATTCAAACAATCACAGAAAAACAAAAAGATGCAATGATAGGACAAAACGTGCAAAATATGATTTATTAACACATGAAAAAAGTTCACACATCATTCATGATTTTCCTTCAGAAAAAATGTGTTCAGAAAGCACATTAGAATCATATAAGAAAAAGAGAAATAAAATGATGGCTAACTACAAGTGATAGAATTATAATTGGTATTGTGTATTTTTGTACATTTTTTATACTGAACAGCACTTTATAAGTCCATAAAAAGCTGCTGATATTTAAATTCACGGTTTCAACCACAGTTAATACAGAGCCTCTTGAGTGTTTGTCTTTCTACTAATTTTAAATCTTTGAGCTACGGGATCTGAGGATGTTCTTGGTACTCTCATATACTTTTTACTTAATTTTCACAGGTATGGTAAGATATTACCACCCTCATTTTGTATGTTCAAGAAACATGCTCCCAGAGGTAAAGTGACTTGCCTAGGGTTACACAACTCGTCAATGGTGGAGTTAAGACTTGAACCCAGGGATCAGCAGATGGTGTAATGGTTACGTTTGCTGGATTCCTATGTAGTAGACTGTGGTTCAAGTCCCGGACCCAGTGGCTTAAAACATGCCAGGCATGTGTGCATGTTTGCCCAAAATCTCGAGAGGAGAAAGCAGGAGAAGGTATGGTGGCGTGGTCATCCTCCCTGGGGGATGATTTCTCGCTTTCTGTCTCTTTATCTCTCTCTGGCTCTCTGGTGAGCACACATGTCCTATAGCAAAAATCTCTCTAAAAAAAAAAAAGAGGGACCAGCAGATGGCATAATGGTTATGTTGCTGGACTCCCATGTAGTCGACTGCGGTTTGGGTCCCAAATCTGGTGACTTAAACTCACACTGGGTGCATGTTTATGCATGCCCAAGATCCCGAGAGGAGAGTGGAGGAGAAGGGATTGTGACATGACCATCCCCTCTGAGGAGTGATTTCTCGCTTTCTGTCTTGCTGTCTCTCTGGTAAGTGCATGCTCCCGATAGCAAAAATCTCTCCAAAAAAAAAAAAAAAAGAAAGAAAGAAAGACTTGAACCTAGCTACTCTCAATCCACAGCTAATATAATTTTTCCTATCTTTAATAACAGTAACTTAGTCCCAATCAACATAAAGACTAAAATATAGCTGCCAATAAGATTAACAGCGAGATAAAATAAGTGAGGTGTTTTTTGTTTGTTTTTTAAATTAGAACTGGAATTACTTCTAAGTAAATGTATCTAGTACTTTTTATAACCCAGACACCAGATATGAAAGAAGTCCATGAGCTTATTAGATGATGTAGAAATGCAAAGTGATGCCAAAAGAGAAAGAACATTAAATATGAAACCAGGGGAAATAATTTTCAGGCTTAGCCATACCAATGACTAGTTACAGAGAATCACCAAACCCTCTGGGTCTGTTTTCTAATCTATAAATTAAGAGTAAGAACATTAAACATTCTCTCTTCTAGCTCTAGAATTCCACGGTTCTGTGCCTAAAAACATGTGGAAGACTGGTTCATTTTGTTTTTATATTCTCCATTTCCTATAAAGGAATGCTCTAAGAGTTCTACAATATCCCTTGATTCAAATTAAGTTTCTTACACAAGCTTCATAATGCTTCCCTTATACTCACTACAAGGACAAATGGTACAGTAGCTTCATGGATAAACAGGCAGGCAGAATGATGTGAAGAAAACAAGCTTTGGAGTCAAAAAGACTGAGTTTAGTTTAAGAGAGATTTTCGCAGATGGCATAATGGTAATGTCACTGGACTCCCACATGGGTGACTGCAGTTCGAGCCCCAGAACCAGTGGCTTCAAACTTACATGGGGAATGTATGCATGTATGCCAAAAATCCTAAGAGGAGAGGGGATTGTGGTATGGTCATCTCCCTGGGGGAGGTGATTTCTTGCTTTCTGTCTCTTTCTGTCTGACTCGCTGGCAAGCACACATACCTTAGAGCAAAAATCTCCCTAAAAAAAAAAAAAAAGACTGAGTTTAGACCCTAAATCCCCAAACTTAAGGTAGTACTTTACTATCTCTATCTGAACCAGTCTTCTCATCTTTCGAAGGGAAATAATAGGGCCTATTTCACAAGATTCTAATAAAACTCAAATAAGATGACTTATTTAAAGTTTACTTGTTACATTAAAAATCTACTTAAGGCCCTATTCCCATTATTTTTAACCTACCTCATAATGTGAAATCATTTGTGATTCAAACTGTAGCACCACTCCACATATGTGACAAAAGTTATCTGTAAAAAGTTCACCCTTTTCTTGTTCATTCCAAGGAGCATCTATGAATAAAATAAAGGGAAATAAGAAAATCTATCACATCAATAAATACTTAGAAGTATCATTTTCATTCCTCAACTATACAGATTGAGCATCCATAATTCTGAAAATCTGAAAAGTGGCATGCTCTCAATTCCGAAATATTTTTTACAAGCTGACATCATTCCACAAGTGGAAGATACCATACTTGACCTCATGTGACAGTACGTAGTTAAAATGTTGCAATACAAAAATACGGTATAAAATTACTTTAAGACTATGTATATAAGGTATATATAAAACATAACTGAATTTCATGTTTAGACTTAGGTCCCATCTCCAAAGTATCTCATTATGTATAAACAAATACTCTAAAATTAAAAAAATCCAAAATCTGAAAGATTTCTTTACCCAAGCATTTTGGATAAGGAATACTCAACCTGTACATTGTTTCAAATGACACTTCAAATGTGAGTGCTTGTGAGGCTGCAATAATAGTGTTTTTCTCAAATATGTAAGTTAATAAGCATATATTAAGTATGCCTCTAATGTTTGATATGGCAAATGTTATTTCTTTGTAATGCCTAATATAGCAAGTGTTTTACACTTATATTTAGTAGGATAACTCTAGGCAGTGACATTTTAAAGGAATAGTTGTGGGGGTATCAGTAACTTCATGAACTTCAGGGAGTGATTTGATTTGGAGCACCAATAATAAAAGGCTGAATTAAAAAAACTCAGCTTTGATATTTTGGGATTTTACAGCAGATAATCCCGTGCCGGCCTCTGGGCTGGTAGTTAAAGCAGCTGAATCTCCCAGGGCCAACTGCTTGGTTTGAGTCCTGGACCTGATGGCTTGCAAAACACACCAGAAGCATGTGCGTGCATGCCCAAAGTTCCAAAAGAACTGAGAAATGGAGGAGAAGGAATTGCTGCATGACCATTCTCCATGGGGGGATGGGTGCTTTCTTCCTTTCCCTCTGTCTCTGTTTCTCTCTGGTGAATTCACACACCCTCTGGCAAAAAAACAAACAAGCAAACAAAAACAGCAAACAATGCTAAGAAATGCATTATTTTAAGACTGTTTGAGCTATGGTTCCAATATTATCTAAAAATGACATGGATCCAATTTCATTTTTCTGCAAGTGGATAGTCAATTTTTCCAGCACTATTTGGTAAAGAGATTTTATTTTCTCTATTAGCTTATCTTGAGCCTTTTGTCAAAAATGGCTATATGATTTGAGTTTCTTTTTTCTGGGTTCTCTATTCTGTTCCATTGGTCTATGTACCTGTTTTTGTGCCAGTACCATGCTTTTCTGATTATCACAGCTTTGTAATATACTTTGGGGTCAGGGAGTGAGATGCCTCCCACTTTATACTTTTTTGCACAGTATTGCTATGGCAATAGGACCCCTTTCACCATTAGCAAAAATCAACTCAAAATGAATGAAAGATCTAAATATAAAACCTCAAACTATAAAACTACTTGTGAAAAACACAGAGGAAATTCTTGAAGACATTGGAATGGGCAAAGATTTTAAAATAAGATCCCCAAAGCATAGGCAATAATCCCCAAAATAGACAAGTGGGATTTACATCAGGCTAAAAAGTTTCTGCACAGCAAAAGAAACAGTAATTATAATGAAGAGACAATCTTCCAAATGGGAGAATATATTTGTAAACTTTGCCTCAGATAAAGAACTGATAACAAAATACAGAGAACTTAAGCAACTAACCTCCCTCCAAAATACCTAATTCAATTAAAAGATGAGCAAATGAGCTGGGGAGATACTCTCCAAGGAAGACATATATTCTGCCAAAAAAACATGAAAAAATACTCAACATTCCTTAAGTGAAATGCAAATTAAAACCCCAATAAGATGCCACTTAACCCTAGTCAGAATGGCTAAGATTAAAAAATAAAGAATAGAGGCTAGCAGGTGGCATAGTGGTTAAGGTGCTGGATTCCCACATAGTTGATTGACCTTGGTTCAAGTCCTGGACCCAGCCTCTTGAAACTCACACTGGGCACATGTGCATGCGTGTCCAAAATCCTGAGAGGAGAATGGAAGAGAAGGGATTGTGGTGTGACCATCCCCATTGGGGGGTGATTTCCTGTTTTCTATCTCTCTGTTTCTCTCTCTGGTAAGCACATGTATCCTAGAGCAAAAATCTAAAAAATAATAATAAAACAAATAAATAATGATAGGTGCTGGTGAGGCTGCAGTGTAAAGGGAACATTCCTACACTGTTGGTGGGAATGTAAGTTAGTACAACCACTGTGGAGAACAATATGGAGGTACCTCAAAAATCTACAAACAGAATTACCATATGATCCATCAATTCCACTCCTGGGCATCTACCCAAAGGACAGGAAAATACTCAGTCAGAAAAACACTTGCACATCCATGTTTATTGCATTATTATTCACAATTGCTGAAAACAGAAAAACATTTGTACATCCATGTTTATTGCAGCATTATTCTCTGTTGCCAAGACATGGAATCAACCCAAATGTCCAAGAACAGATGAGTGGATTGAAAAACTGTGGCACATATACTCTATGAACTACTACTTAACCATAAAAAACAATGAGATCCTGGGGGTGGCAGGTGGCATGTTGGTTAAGGGTGCTGGACTTCCACATGGCTGACTGCGGTTCAAGTCCCAGACTTGGAGGTTTGCTTTCTCATTTTCCCTTTCTCTCTCTCTCCTGGTCTCACTCTCACTCTGTCCCTCTCTGGTCAAATTAAAATAAATAAATAAAGTTAAATAAAATAATTCTTTTAAAAATACAAACAATGAGATCCTGGCATTTGATAGAAAGTGGACAAATATGGAAGATTTAATGCTAAATGAGGCAAGCTAGACTATGAAAGATAGGCATTATATGTCTCTACTTAATACATATCAAATGTCTGCACTTTATAGCAGAAACTGAAGGTGTGGAAGGTAGAAAAGCAGGGGGACCAGCAGTTAGTGAAATGGCTATGTTGCTGGACTCCCACGTAGTTGACCACGGTTCGAGTCCCAGACCCAGCAGCTTAAACTCACGCCGGGCACGTGTGCGTGCATGCCCAAGATCCTGAGAGGAGAATGGAGGAGAAAGGATTGCGACATGGCCATCCCCCCTGGGGAGTTATTGCTCACTTTCTGTCTGTCTTTCTGGCGAGCACACGTGCCCTATAGCAAAAAAAACCTCTCCAAAAAAGAAAAAGAAGGTATAAAAGCAGGGAGAGCAATTGTGGATACTAACAACAGTGTGAGAGGAGGGTGGACAATGGGGGGGGGAGGGAATCAAGGGGGAAAAGAAAGTAAAATATTTAATGGACACAAAAATGAAAAATTATCAGTTGAAAATAATGAGTGTGGTAATATCTTTGACTGGACTAATATGCAGTATACTCATGTCTAGAAAGTTCATTTTATATGCTATAAGGATGTACAGTAATTAAATGCAAAAAAAGTAAGAAATAAATAAAATAAATTTAAAAATAAAAATGATACGGAACCACAGACCATTTTTGCCCATGGTGGGCAAACATCCTTCATCACTGTACAGATACCAACACATTCATTCGGTCCAAGAAATTTCATGCAAACCCCCAAAAGCTTTGTAATGTTTACATACCAAGATCTAGATATTTATGCTATACTGCTTCTCACTGTAATAAATAATACATGCCAAAACTTTCTGAATTTATACCTGAGGTCCACACTTTTACCTAAATTTCTTAAGAGTTGCAAAGTATTCTGCCAAAGTTTATTAGTTTACCTATAGGATATGAATTACAAAACATAAGAATTTTGCTTGTTATGAGCTATTTAAATGAATAACTTGGTACAATATATACTTTCATGGAGAGACGTGAATGATACAGTAGTAAGTAAAAAATTGTAGAACAAATACAACACATTGAATTGCCAATACTAACAAAAACAAAATATATGCACACACAAGAGAACTTCTAAAGCTATAGAAAAAATGGAGTTAACATACACATTTATGGGACTAACAGGTAGCATGGTGGCTAAGGCACTAGACTCCCACAACGCTGACCATATGGTTTGAGTCCCGGACCCAGTGGCTTGAAAACCAAGACGAATGCGTGTGCATGTGTGCCCAAAATCCTGAGAGGAGAATGGAGAAGAAGGGATTGCAGTGTGGCCATTCCTCTAGGGCATGAGTTCTCATTTTCCCGTCTCTTTGTCTCTCTCTCTTTGATGAGCACATGTGCCTTATGGCAAAAACCTGAAAAAAAAAAAGTATGAAGGTGCAAAAGAGTTTTTAAATCCATGCATAGTTTTTTGTTTTTGAATTTTTTTGGCACTACATATTTTATGAACTTTTGGAAGGCTTCTGGTATGTACATACGTATATGAATACATATATGTATGTATTCACAGGAAAAAATCTGGATGGCATAAACTAAATTTAAAAGTAGTTAACTTTAAAAAGTGGGGATAGAAAGGGAAAAGGTGGGTAAATTTTAACATTTTACTCTATACAACTTCATTGTTTTGACTTCTGCATAAAGCATGTAAGATTTCTATTTAAAAACCATTATGGTAGATGTCAGTAAGATGGTGAACTTGGACTCTCCAGTGCTCTTCCCCTCACAGAAATATCAATTTGAACAATTTATCCACACACAAAAATACCTTCACAAGACCTAAGGAGGATTACAGCAGCATCTGAGTATAACATAGAAATAAGAAAAAAATGTGTTGAAGAATGTAGGAAGGACAGTTTTACAACAGCTGTGTCACACCTAGGCCAACCCTAGGCACTCCAGCACACAGAGATATCCTCCGCTTGGGAAAAGGAGGAAGTAAATACTAGACTTTACCTCAAATCCCAGCATCAGGCCTGCCCCAATAATACCCAGTTTGTACTGGAAAATCTGCTTCGATGATGCAAAAAGCAAAAGAGATTCAGTAGAGAGAAACTTAGTTTTTAATGACCTTTGTTGGATTTGGCATATGTCAATTATCTGTACTATTATGAGAAAGTAAAACATAA